ATCCGTTCATATCGAAGTAAGCTTCATCGCTCATCAACAGTTGCCGGTAAAAATCGTTATTTTGTGTATTAAGCTGCAATATTGCAGTCACTAGGCTGTAGTTCTTGGGTTAACTCAATTTTGTATGACCGCAAGTGCAAGTCTTTTTTGTAATATAGTGCATAATGACGTGCGACGGATACCCAGTTCTTGAGAACGGTGTCTGGTAGACATCTTAGGGCGCTCCACTACACTTTCACGAATTCTTTCGATATTTTCCGGTGTACGAACAGTTTGAACACTTTGTCAAGTCTTTAACTTCACCTGTTTGTTCAAATTTACGCTCCAACTGACGAATGGTGTTGACAGTGGGCAAATTATTTCGACCGACGTGTTGCGGGATCGTGTAGCGCTTCCATGATGAATTGGACACATGCGCTTTAAACAACTACTATGGCGACATCTACTGAAATGCGTGAATCAAAAATGGCGCGAAATTTAAATCATTCACTCTGTAGTACCAATTATACTGCTTGCAGCAATGGTTTCACTTTTAATTTTTCCAATAACCTACTGAAATAGCAGCCTGTCGTCACTCTCAAAGCACAGAAGCGCGTCCGGACGCGTCCGAAAAGAAAACTTCAGAGTACAAACTTATGTGGTAAAAGTACTTCTTAGAATGATTTTAGCTAAATTCATATAATCTGCTAGTCCCTTCCATGCACTCTGATGATTCATTGTCTAGGTTTTCTAAGGTGCTGTGAGTTGAAAGGAGAGTCGTGTCATCGACTTAGAGAAAGAGTTTGCTACTAGTGTTACTGAGGCAATTTTGTAGGCCATTGCTGTGTAACAAGGATAACAATGTTCCAAGTACAGATCCTTGAGGAACCCTATACAAAATGGTTGTGACAATTTTTGAATTCCACAAATTGCTGTCTTACAGACAGGTAAGGCCTGAGATGCTGCATACTGGACGGAGATACAGAATAAACAGAAGCTTTCAGAGTAGTATCTCATGCTGCACACAACTAAAGGCTTTAGGTAGATCAAAGAAGTCAGCTTTCACGTACAATTTGTTCTCAAAACTCTCGTTAACTATTTCAGTGAAACTGCTTATTGCTGTTTTCGGTGACTTACCCTTCCTGGAACCAAACTAACAAGTTCGCTTCACTCTAGATCTTTGAGAATGATGTAGAATGTTTTGGCAAAGTAAGGTTTAATTGATATTAGGGCTCTGCATAAGATCCGCCGATTTTGTAAAAGAAATAGACGGAGATATTTTAGAGGGTGATTACTTGTTAAAAAATATGAAAAAAGTTTTTATAAACATGGGTGCGGAAATGCAAGGTTTTCAGGATACAGGGTGACAGATTTAAAAAAAATAATATCCTAAAAAATATTTACTCGATTTTGTTGAAAATTTGCAAAAACACTCTTTCCTAGAAATTCTTTTGATTTTTTGTTTTCCAAGGCACTTTCGATTTTCTTAGCAAAAATTAATAAACCAATTCTTTCATTTTTCTTTTCTCGAAGACGAAGTGAGATTCGAAAAAATATAAGAGGCAAGGGAGTTGTATTTTTAGATGCTTAATCATATTGAAGTCACTAAAAAGACAGTGGTGTACATTTCTTTGTGAATAATATTCGCTAAGGTGCCTCCTTGATGCCACTGGACCTAATAATTTTATTGTATTTAGGACTGAATTAGCCTCTTAATATAAAACATTATTGCCAAATTTCAACAAAATAAAGTAAATATTTTTTAAGATATAAATAATTTTTTCTTAAGTTTATCACTGTATCTTGACAACTTTGCATTTCCGGATCCATGTTTACAGAAATCTCCATATTTTGTAACAAGGAATCACCCTCTAAAATATCTCCGTCTATTTTTCGAACAGCCTGTAATGGGAACGTTTCTGAAGGCCAGTGCTCTCATATAGCAACTTAGGTTTAATTGCTATCGAGTCGAAAAAAAATCGAAAGCAAATCGGCTCTGGGAACTAAATATCGACCAGTAATTACAATTATCATCGATCACACGTCGATTGAACAAAGTCGAACATGTATCCACCTGATATTGAGTGACAAGACGTATTGCATTGCGAGATTTATAAAGGATATCTTCAGAACTTGTTCGCATTGTTCTTTGTTCTTGGATTTCTTATATTCTTCTATTCGGCATTTTTCGTCAGAGCGGTCTGTGTGACCTTTGCTCCTCAAGTATTGCAGATCATCAGGTCTGAACCAAGTACAAGACGAATTATGGAGTCAAAAAACCGAGCTTTACAGAAACAGCTAGGCAACTAAGACAGCGCTACAGAGCGCAACATTATCGGGATTCTGTTTCTCATGTTTGTCAGATTTTTTCCCTCCTCCTCCTCTAGTCATCGGTGGCAACGTCACTTGGTCACCCACATCAAAGTGACTTTTTCAGTAGACCCATATACGCTTGTTCGCTGTCGTTGTCTATCTCCGATGACTAGACCTATACCGCACTAATGATTGCAAAAAACATGAGACATAGCCGTTGCTTATGATCACAGATCGAAAAGCAAGCAGATCTTAATTCTGGCTCACATGACAGGTGAGAGTATACAGGGTGTCCCGAAAAAAGTGTGCAATATTCTACCAGCGGTTTCTAGAGCTTAAAATAGGAAGAAAAGTTTATATAAACATAGGTCGACAAACGTCTCCTGAGGGCGCTACGGTGTTTTAAAGGGGCTCCCCTGGAGATGGTTTTTCCTTAATATTTCCACAACGTGTTGAGATAAAGACGTAAAATTTGGTACTCTAGCATAGTTTTTTATGCTGGATTTAAAAATATTAACAATTTTAGACAGTTTTGTTTGGAAGCGTATGTAACAGGGACGGACTTAGAATTTGAAAATCTAGGGTTTTCTACATAAAAAGGTACTCTTATTGAATATCGATAAATTGTGCCATTTTTGAATAAAATCAAACTAAAGAATTTGTCACAAGATAGGAAACGTACTCCGAATTTAAATGAATTGTTGATTATACATAGTTAGCCATGACTGCAAACAAAAGTTGTTTTGATTTGTTATGACTTATTTTGACGTTAAGCTGAGATTGTTAGCAGTGTAAAATTACTAGATTAACATCAAAATTTTTATTAAATCGATTTAAAATGCCAAGATTTACAGACAGAGAGCTGACTGACATGCAATTTGTGTACTGGTTTTGCAATGGCAGTTCATTGGCAGCCGTAAGAGAATATCAAAGAAGATTTCCCAGTCGCATAGTACCTGGACGTCGAATGTTAACTGGTATTCACCGGAATTTGTCAAACCATGGAAGTTTTTAGCGCATGCAGGGCTCAGGAAGGCCACTTGTAAATCATCGTATGGATATTGCTTTAAACATGTTTGAAAATAATCCGCAAATAAGCATACGAAAAGTTTCAGAAATTATGGATATACTTCGATCAATAGTAAGAAAAATTTATGAATACCTATTTAATAGTTATCCTAAAAATAATAATTTTAGATAGGAAGAATGACAAGAATGCAAGGATTACATCCTTATCATTTTAAACGGGTGCAGCATGTAACGCAGGCAGATTTTTTACCACGAATCGAGTTTTGCCAGTGGATATTAGCAAATGAAAACAATATTCCTAGAATATTATGGTCGGATGAGTCAATATTTACTAGGAATGGTGCTTTTAATTTCCATAACATGCATCACTGGTCAGATGGAAATCCAAAAGTTGTTCGCCGTACAAATTTCCAACATAGATTTTCATTGAACTTATGGGCAGGAGTAATTGGGGATCAAGTAATTGGGCCTATTGTACTTCCCAATCGCTTTAATTCAGAGGTGTATCTGAACTTTCTTCAGAATGAGCTCATGGATATAATACCATTGGATGTGCTCCAGCAGTTTCAAGAAAATATGTTTTTTCAACATGATGGCGCCCCTGCACATTTTGGACGCAAATTGGTTGAATGTCAATTTTCCAGACAGCTGGTTACGCCGAGGAGGTCCTATAGCGTGGCCGCCACGTCCACCTGACCTAAATCCATTGGATTTCTATTTTTGGAGGTCATTAAAAGACCTAGTTTACTCGACTGAAGTAAATACACAAGAAGATTTACTTCAAAGAATCCATCAGGCTGCAAATGAAATAAGAAGAAAAAGGTTTTCCACTTTTCGGCCTACGCAATCATTAGTTCGTCGAGCGAGACTCTGTATCCAACAAAATGGGAATTTATTTGAACACTTACTGTAAAGCTAGTTTTAAGTATATCCAACTGTATGTCTTCTTTTTTAAACAAATTTCAATTTCGATTGTAGAAAAAACTTATTTCTTTTGTTTTTGCCTAAATGTTAGCTATGTTGCAATAGAAATATGTATTTATGTTATATTTACCAATTATTAAATTAGTTTTTTCTTGTCATGGCTAATTATTCAACAATTCATTTAAATTCGCAGTACATTTCCTATCATGTGACATATTCTTTGGTTTGATTTTATTCAAAAATGGCACAATGTATCGATATCCAATAAGAGTATCTTTTTTATGTAGAAAACCCTAAATTTTCAAACTCTAAAATTGAATTTCAAAAATAGAATCACACAAAAATGTTTGGGCTAAAATAACCTGAGTCCGTCCCTGTTACATACGCTTCCAAACAAAACTGTCTAAAATTGTTGATATTTTTGAATCCAGCATAAAGAACTAAGCTAAAATACAAAACGTTATGTCTTTATCTCAACACGTTGCGGAAATATTAAGGAAAAACCATCTTCAGGGGAGCCCCTTTAAAAGATCGTAGCGCCCTTAGAGGACGTTTGTCGACCTATGTTTATATAAACTTTTCTTTCTATTTTAAACTCTAGAAACCGCTGGTAGAATATTGCACACTTTTTTCGGGACACCCTGTATAGAAAGATTATAGAAAGATGTCAGGGTATGTCAGGAGTACCCTTGTGTATGGGTGGCTTTAGTAAGTATCTGAAGTCGCATTGAAACGACAATTGAATTTTATTACAGGTTGGTTGTTTTAACTTTATAAATGGGCAGCTGCCTAACTCGTCAGAAAAGGCTAATGGACATGGCGACTAGAGGAGCAGCGCTTGAACTTTGACGGCCCAACGGTTTTTAAACTTTGCTAAGTGCATCAGAAAGGAATGCATTAAACCTTTCAGGGATAAATAAGGCTCAGAGTCATAGATAATTATATTCGGTATGGCAGAAGCTGACGACAGATTGAAATAAAGCGTACTTCCTAAAAATTTTGGCACAAAATATTTATCGTTTATTTTTCAATGAAGAAATTTACTTCAACACTAACTAGTCATCATCAATTACAACTCAATACTTAACCTAACCATACTAACGAATGATGAAGGAGAGGCCCATTCTGCTCTACCAGACGCGAACTTTCTTCGAAAGACTCTCATGAAGTCCTGGATAAAACTCAGATCAATCTCTCTCAGTTGTTCGTAAGTTCGCCATCTTAATTGTTATCTATCTTGTGCTTCCTAGCGTCCAAGATAAGCCTTCCAAGACAGTGAAACCCAAAAATCTTCTTCTGGGGAGGCTGCACTACGTTTGGAGGATTATCGTTTTTGGGAACAAAAGGTGTGTTGTGTGCTAGGTCTGGCCGAAACATAATATGGCTATTAGCATGATATTCGTAGATAAGCTGAAGTAATTTGGAAAGGCAGTTATCAATTTACTTATGTCACTGACAATAAGAAACGACATTTAATAGTTATTTATGCACAAGGGCATACAGTGGACATTTATGACTCGCAGTGTAAAATTAATGCCCAAGGTGCGAGGTGCCACCAGTGCCTCGGGCACACACCCGAGGATTCATATAAAGTATCTAAAACCACAGCGCTGAAAAGTTGAAGCAGCTAATATGGACAGTTCTTATGGTCGATAAACACGGGTCAGGTCGTCTCAAAGATACCGGGACTAAAGTGACTTAACTAGGGCATAAAGAAGCCTAATGGCATGGAAAGTATACAAATTAGCTCCTTATAGTCTAGGGTACAATATACTTCCCGATCCTAAATAAACGATCATGTATTTGGTGGGATCTACCGACTACTGGTACTAGCGTTTTCAGTAACTTTAACAAAGCGTTTGATGCCATCACCGATGGTGAATGTCATGGTCTAAAATTTATTTATTATAGCCAACGAACGATAGTCAGGCATGGCACAAGAGGAATAAGAATGAATGGAAATAATACTGACACAGTGACTGTGAAAATGTGTGAATCAGGCTAGAACGTGGCAATAACATACTGGTCGTTCAAGTGCATGCCACTAATTCTGAAAGCTCCACCGCTATTTCCCTGGTTATTATGCACGCATAAAACAGTATTTAATTACGGCTTTATCGGCGGCAATTATTTTCATAAGCTATCGGCGCGGCGTCGCGAAATTTTCCCTTTAAAGTGCATGCCGCCGCCTCGTTGGGCTTTCATCAAAGCCCTGCAACTGGAGTCTACGGACTACCGAACAGTAGGGTCACGACGCTGCCAAGTCAGGTATAGCTTGATCATAGATTTAGTACACATTTCGGTATTCAGTTGAATACTTTATGAGTTTCCTAATCCGTCATAAATCATTCCTAAATGCGGTCCAGTAAGCAGGGTTCACGTGGGCTGCTGTCGTCTAAGAAAAAAGGGCAATTTTTTTTACACCGAAGCAGCCGTACAGGCACAAGTCTAAATACCAGAATACCGCAGCTGCTATCAGGATCCCAACGAAACTCTGTTAATCCGATTTTTGAATGGTCTAAGATCCATCGAAACCGGATGAGCGCCAGAACGAGTTTTGTTCGTAAAGGTACATTTCTCCGTTTGGAAGCATTAAACTGTTCAATATTGTTGCAATCTCAAGCAGTGATAACCTCCAGGTCTCTGGTCAGAGAGGAAGTCTCTGCTGGTCCTCTTTTTGTCAGCTCACCGGCAAAGATCGGCTTGTCGCTCTGAATTGCTGCAGAGTGCTATTATCAGCAAAGCTGTGAATTGGATTGATCGTGTATGAAAGGAGGTCGATGATATGTATGAGGAACAGTGTCGGAGCCAACACCGATGCCTGTAGTACATCCGCGTTGACGTTGTTGGATGAAGAGGACAACCAGTTAATTACGACGGATATCTTGCAGGCAGAGGGCAAGTCAGCCACCCATCTGTAAAGCTTATCTGGGAGGCCATAGGACGGTAGTTCACATGAGAGGAGTGATCGGAGGCTTTCGTGATATCAAGAGCAAGGACATGTGCCTCACCATAAGACTGGATGAGCTTACTCTATAATTGGGTGACGTGAGATAGGATAGGTCTCCGGTGGCTCGCTGGTGCCTGTAACCATACTGTCTGTTGCTGATTAAGCCGTGACGTTCATGGTCGTCTAGAAGCTCGTGATTAATGCATCTCTCTCTCGCTCTTACCTATAACAGAAAGCAGAGCTATAAGCCTTAGATCCCTTTTTTTTGGGATGGGCTGGACATGAGCACATTGCAGTTCTCTGGGAAGGTGCCGGATTCGTAAGATATCTGGAAAGAACTGGAGCAAGCTCCACTGCACACCTCTTCCACACAATGGCAGGAATCGAGTCCGGACCAGAAGCTTCGTTGATGTCGAGCGATAAGAGCACCCATCTTACGGTCTTACGCCTGAATGCTACTTACGGCATAACGTAGGGTACCCTTTGAATCTACGACATTGGTGCGTCGGCTATGGTCAAAAAATATTGGACATTCAACTGGTAGAGCGCTCATGGAATCTGCTACTATTCCTTAAGCGGTCTACACACTTTGATGTATGCTGCGATGTCTGAATCGACTCAACGTTTCCTGGAACATGCAATAGTTGTATAAGCGCCTACTCAAATCGAAACCTGTTCCGATGCCCGAATCGACTCGGAGTTTCACGCAACACTGAAGTTATTTTGAAAACACTACCTAGGTTTCTTATGTTTCTGTCTGAATACTCTTTAGCCTTTGTATTTCAAAGACACGTATGTAGATGATAAATGTTTATGAACTTTTCCAAAAATTGTCGATCACTTTCTATCATGGAATTTACACATACAGACAAACAACAAATGGACCTCTAAAATGACGCGGGAAAATAAATACCGTCTTGTCATCGACACAATCCTATACACGCTGAAGCTTACATCAGCATCACCGACTCGGTCCTTGCTCGCCGACAAAATCGGATTCCAGACTCTGCATCGCTGCAAGCCGCAACTGATGCCAAATACGAGATTCAGTACTACACACACTGCTACTTGAGTCATGAAACATAAGAGTCGATGGTGTGTGGACCGCTTTAAACGCAGCAGCGAATCAGAATTAAGATCGACACATGCCGGTGGGTGACAACCTGTATCCGTTCAGGATCCTCCTGACCTGTACTTCATATCAACAATTTCAGGAGCGTCTCATTTTCTCAAATACGATTTGCAAACGGCTCTGTTTACCTACATGGCGCTTGAGTTGAGCAGTGGTGTGCGTCTTGCACATCTACAAATTAATTTTAACCTCAATTATACCCCTATGAAATTCCCCTAAAAAGCAGAGCTATTACTAAGCCGCTGGTAGTAGTACAAGAGCGCGGTGACTGTACTTGCCGCCCTAAGTTAAGTACCATTTTCTGCTTATCAATAATGGGTATATCTTATGTATTTTGAGACGCTTAAATCAAATCTAAAAGCAGAATTTTTCTATCTACTAATATCTACTTTTATGAATTACAATACGTAACAGCTCATATTGCCGCATTTCTCGGCGTTTATGGGATGACGCACATATATAATGTTAAGACCTGTCTATTCCTGTTTATTATATGCGAGCTCTATGTTTAGAGAGCATGTTACGTTTTCTGTGTTGAAGGGTACTGTTAACTTTTGTTAAAACGGTGTGTTGTTTTTAGTTTATTGTGATCGAGACTAGCTTTATGGACAATGCCTAGAATTATGTAAATAGTGCGTACAGTTTTTGTTATGTGTGCGGAGAGCTAACTTTTAAATCCCAAAAACGTACTTTTACTCCGCTTGTGTTGAAAGCATCCGAACTTTATTTTGGAATTAAAGTTGGCGACCAAGATAAACTATGGGCCCCTCATATACCTATGTTGTAAGACTTGTGTAACGTTGTTAACAGGTTGGTTAAGAGGCGACAAATGCCCTTTGCGGTACCAGTGGTTTGGAAAGAACCCAGATACCATACTACTGATTGCTATTTTTGCCTCACAAATATAAAGGTATTGGACCAAAATCGAAACATACCGTTAAGTATTTTAATTTACCATAAGCTTTGCAGCATATTGATGAACTTTATATCCCAGTTCCACCAGAATGTTGGTCTTTGGATGAAGAAGTCGAATCCACCGATTCTGAAAGTGATGGTACAGAAAGCGTAAAAACTTCCGATCCTTCGTTTGACCTACCAGGATGTTCAACAGCGCCACATTTGATCACACAGGGTGAACCTAATGCCTTAGTTTGAGAATTAAGTCTGTCAAAATCCCAGTCAGAACTTTTAGCGTCAAGATTAAAAGGATGGAATCTTCTCCATGGTGATTTTAACATTACTTTTTACCGAAAAGTGCAACAAGACTGTTTCCGTTAAGAAATGGAGTTGATATATTGCTTTGATGTCAACAATTTGTTTGACGCGTTAGGATAGAAACATAATCCAAATGATTGCCGCCTGTTCATTGATTCTTCTAAGCCTAGTTTAAAAGCGGTATTGGTACAAAGCGGTAATAAATATCCATCTGTATCTTTAGCGCACGCAATTCATATGAAGGAATCATATAATTGGTGCTTATAAAGGAATGGGATGTAGCATGTCTCTAAAAATTCACTTTTTTGATTTCTATTTCGATTTTTTTCTGGAAAATTTAGGTGTGGTAAGTGATGAACATGGTGAACGGTTCCACCAAGATATTTCTGATATAGAAAAACGGTATCAAGGCAAATGGAGTGCCAATTTGCTTTCTAATTATTGCTGGGCATTGTTAAGAGATACTTCAGGAGCAACTTATCACCATAAAACATTGACAACAACATTCTGAGATTAATGTTTATTCGAGT